TCCACTCCTTAAAATATATATTAATTAAATAATAAAATAATTATTAGTTGACTCCAGCGTTGACTGTTGACTTCCGGCGTTGACTCCGGCGTCGACCCGTTGACCCCTAGTATGCATTATATGTATGAAGTAAATATGCATCTAGTACCATGCATTCAATATAAACTAAGTATGCATGGGATATGAATTGCACATGCAGTCCTTATGAACTAAATATGCACCAATAATATCAACTAAGTATGCACCTGTTATGAACTAAATATATATCTGTTATGAACTAAATATGCATCATGAATGAACTAAATATGCAGCGAAAAATATGCAATAAAATGTGCATTTTATATAGGTAATTTATGATGCATATTTAGTTAATTTATTATGAATATTTGAGTAATTTATCATGCATATTTAGTTAATACGAAATGCATACTTGTTATATTTAAATTTAATATATAATGATGTTTATATAGTTAATATATGATGCATATTTAGTTAATTCATGATACATATATAGTTCTTACGAAATGCATATTTAGTTCATGAACAGTGCATACCTATTTTATTTGAGATCAAATCATAACAATTTATTTGTGTTATTAAACAATTTAAAATTATAATTAATTATATAATAAAAATCATTAATTATTATATTTAATTTAATTGTATAAAATGTGTATTTTATTGTATATTTTCGTTGTATATTTAGTTCATTCATGATACATATTTAGGTAGTAAAATGTGCATATTTAGTACATAAATAGTGCATACATAGTTGATATTATTGGTGCATATTTAGTTGATAAGGATAACATATATAATTCATTTCTGATGCATATTTAGTTCATACTAAGTGCATAGTACTGATGCATATTTACTTCATACACAATCCATACTAAGGGTCAACGGTCAATGTTGAAAGTCAACGTCGGAGTCAACAGTCAACGCCAAAAGTCAACAGTCAACGACGGAATTCAACGATTTTCGCCGGAAGTCAACGGTCAACACCAGAGTCAACGGTCAACGCCGAAGTCAATGGTCAATTGTCAAAATAATATTTAAATAATTAAAATAATA